ATCTACCCATCCACAGATTGCTAGAGCTACAATGGAGCACTCCAATTGCGCTCAAGCTAGTCTCATCTCCTGGCCTCCTAGACCTCCAGACCTTTTGCCCATCGAACATGTCTAAGGGCCGGCTCGTCTTATGGTCTCCTCGATTTTCATAGCTTTTTCTGTTCTTCCAAAAGTCAAGGATTTCTAGATTCCTATGGTCTCCTCGATTTTCATTGCTTTTTCTGTTCTTCTAAAAGTCAGGCATTTCTAGATTCCTACCCTTTCGTGTAAGCGCTCTAGTTGAGGTTATATTCTCCTTTCAAATTGAAAGATATTTGAGGTTGATAATACTTCTTATCATCCGTTCTACCAGCCAGGAATTTCTTGAGGCTCAAAAAGCAAACATAACCTCACAATAGGAGACAGCTGACGCTGACATGAAGCAATAGACATCTCGAAATACCGCAGCCAGCCCTTCTAAAGGAGAGAAGAGATTATGAAAATCTAGGGGCCATAAAGGCAAGGCAGTAAATATATACGATGAGAAAGGGATTGACGTATTCGGCATCGGGTTGGCTCAAGTTATAATAGCAGTCTTTTCTAATGCAAATAGAGTAAAAAGACACGCTTTGCTTATGATAATAAACGTACCATATAAAGGCCACAAAGACAACGATGTACGAGCCCCTTCCCACTTCAGTTGGCCCAACTATTCAAATCTTAGTTTTTTTCTTATCAAACACAAATAATAAAAATGTAACAGGGTGTTATAGGTTTAAAATATTAACAATGAATATTTTGATAATATATAGTAGAAAACACCAACTTTATCACTCCCTAATCAAACTTGCAGCATCAAACTAACACATATTGCAATTACAGCATATCAACCTATTTTCATTTCAATGCAAACTAAGTCTATAACGTATAGGTGGCTGTGAAAAATAAAGGCCATGACAATTGTTTTTTTATCACAGCTGTCAGAATACGTTTGAAATAGTTTTGGGTAGTTAGGGTTTTCAAAATGGGTAGAAGAAAGGTTATTAGTGAGAAAATTCGGTTACTGATAATTAATTTTTTTAATTCTGGGAAATCAAACTCAGACTTGTCGCGGTACAGTGTGAGAAATATTTTTAGAAGATATAATGTAACTGGTTCAGTTAATATTGAGCCACGATATGTGAAAAAAAGTAATATCACAAATGCCGACCGAAGAGCATTAAGAAGAACAATCGTGAAAAACAGGCGTGCCAATTATTTACAATTAAGTGCTCTGTGGAGTAACGCTGTTGGAAGGAGAATTTCGAGGTCCACAACTCATAGAGAGGCCCACAGTCTGGGATTTTAGCACTTGCAAGGTAAGTTTTCTTATAAAAAAAAGTGAAGGAAAAATCCTAAAGTTGCACAACTTGTTTATAGGCCAAAAAAAAGCCACTATTAACTCCACTGCAAAAGAAAAATCGGCTTAGATGGGCTAAAGAACATAGACAATGGACACCTCAACAATGGTGTGCAATACAATGGAGTGATGAGGCCCGATTCGAAGTTTGTGTTGGTGACAGTCGCAGTAGAGTTATTCGCAAAAAAAATGAAGCATTCCATATTGACTGTCTGAAGAGAAAAGTGAAATTTCCAGTATCCATTATGGTCTGGGGCGGTATGTCCTCAACAGGAGTAAGAAAACTTCATTTTATTGATGGAAATGTGGATACAAACAAATATTTGGCAATTTTCTACCAGTAATGGAAGAATGTTTGACATCCGGCCAAGATTTTGTGTTTCAGCAAGATGGTGCAGCGTGCCATACCTCAAAAAAGGCTATAAAATGGTTGGAAGAAAATAATGTACCACTTTCGAAATGGGTTTCTAGCAGTAAAGATCTGTCACCTATTGAAACTTTGTGGCATGAGATGAAACGACAAGATCCTGCCCGTACCATCACCGAACTGAGACAAAAGCTTAAAAAATATGGGATCGTTTTGCACCAAACTTTTGCCAAACCTTGGTTAACATTATGCCCCAAAGAATTTCAGCCGTAATAAAAAATAAAGGTGATGTTACCCAATGGTAATCTTTCAATTGTTGCTTTGTAAACTTCGCACATTGTTTATTTGTTCAGATGTTCTATTAGTTATAGGTCTAAGTGATTTCAAATAAGCATTTTTTACGACTAGAGTGCATCTAAAACGTTTTTGAGGAAATAAATTGTTTTAGAAGTAAATAGTTTCATGTTCAGTTTATAATGTCATATTTTGGTACAAATCTTGAAGTGGGCCAACTGAAGTGGGAAGGGGCTCGTCGTTATTCCACTTGTGCTAATATTGCGATTTCTATGCAAAATGTTGTATTCATCATAACAACATAAAAAGGTGTTCTTCTTCAGTCGAGGATTGTAGAGGCTGGTCAACTAAGAATGCGAAGTACTGTATCTGGGAAGCTATCCATCGTAGAGGCTTGCGGTAAAAACGGCCATGAGAAAAACCTGGAAAATATTTTCAAGTTTCTGAAATGGCCTTTAGGGGGCGTAACAGCAATCTTGAATCTAAAAAAGATATTTCTGCGAATTTCGTCATATTAACGTAACAAAAAACACCTGATCTTTATATTCGAACATAATCTGACCCTTTTTTGTTTGAGAATTTTTGCTGTATCTCTAAATATAAAGTGGTGGGGGGTATTCAAAGGTTTCCGAAAAAAATAAAACACCCTGTATCTTCGAAACGGCTGAGCGGATATTAACAAACGAAGGCAAGTTAGAAATAGCTGCTTCTGGGCAACAAATGTTATGATACTTGAAGATTTGTCAGTTTCACATGTCGCCGCTAGAGGGCTTTTTCGACATTCCGACCGAAATGATTGATTTTATCAGACAAATTAAATGCATTTATATGACTTTTCTTATGAAAAAGTAGCTGTATAATGTTTAAAGAATATCGTGAAAATGGCAACAAAATATCTTGCTTATAGCCTAAAATTTAGGCTAAGGAATGTTTTATACGGAAATCCCTCAAATTATTATTTTTTTAAACTATGTTTTCTGGATTTTTTTTATTATCAAGTTGTCGCCCTAAAAAAGACCGATTTAAAAATAAAAGGTTTTTAGTACCCTGGTAACTGCTCGAAATGCCGATCATCACACTCTGTGAATCCCTCATGGGTTGACAAAACTGCTTCAATTTAGGCTCTCGAATTGTTACGGATTTCATTACGAATCCGGTTTTTCATACCTTCGTTGATTGTACCTGGAAATACACAGGAGCATCACTTTTTTGGATTCAAGATTGCAGTTACGCCTCCTAGCGGCCATTTCAGAAACTTGAAAATGTTTTTCAGGTTTTTCTCATTGGCCGTTTTAGTTTTTTCCGCCTCTACGATGGATAGATTCCCAGATACACTCCGATTTTTATTTGGGCTCCCTCCACAACAGAAATGCTGCTGCTTAAAGTCTTGAAACCGATATTACATTAGAACAAATTCTCTAGACTATGGTGCAGAGACACGTCAGGAAGATTAGAAAGAAATAGGAAGCCGGAAAGTTGACGTAGATGCTGAAGAGGAGTACCACAGCTAATTGAAGATGGGCCTTCCAGTAAGGTGCTCCGTATTTGACAGAATGTTGGTGCAGCTAGATAGACAGTACATCGGACTAGTCTTCCGAATGATTACCCAAGGAGTGTCCAATTTTGCAAACGGATGTTACAAGCAATTCAGAAATATTGTGCTGGGCTCTAGAAGATTTACGAATAATAACCGCTTCCAGCATCTATTCGGAGACAGCTTATGGGCTAATAAATTCATTGGCCCATTTTAGTTAGGAGGAAAGCTTTGTTGTGAAGCTTCACTAATGTCTTTTGAAATAACCTATCATACTGCTGGACGAGGTGTTACACGATATGTCTTTAGCAAGTCAGCCGCAAAATCATACGAGTCCAGTACGATTGGGCCCGTCCACACAATGTACGCAACGTAAAGGACTCTGGACGATGGATTAATTAATGCACCTGATCCATATTCAACGTGTGCAGGTACTTCTTTGGAATGACTATCCAAGGAGAGTCCAATTTTGCAAATGGATGCTTCAAATATTTCAGAAATGCAGTTTCAAAAAGATGTTATTAAAATACAGGGCTCTAGAGGATCTACGAATCTTGACTGCTTCCAACACCGATTTGTAGCGAAACTTATTCAAATGACCTATCATACTGCTTGATGAGATGTTAAACGATACGAGTATGCCTTGAGCAAGGTAGCACCAAAAAATCTGATTCCAATATGCTTGCGCATCTCCACACGCCACATTGAGGATTTTTTCAAATCGCATTTATTGTGGACCATGGATTAATATGATCTACTTACATTCAAGGACTTACTGCCCCTTTCTTCTACTAGAATTACAAAAAGTTGATAATTGCGGTTACGGAACAAGGTAATACGGAGTCGCCGCAATCGGTTGGATTGTTTGGACGTAGAATTCATTAAGGTCTGAAGACTAATGGTGCCTTAATTGTTCTCTCGTTGTAGTCGGCATGTAGACAGTTGGCAATTGCAGTTATAGGATTAAGTACAGAAAATGAGATTTCTGGTATCTGCAGCATTTTGTCTATCTCGAGCAAAGTCCAAGTATTTGATAATATAAACGATATTTTGAAATGTCAAAACATGAAAAAACCTTTCATAACTATGGACACCTTGTCTGCCCACCAACTTTTTGTACAGGCCTTGTTTGAATATGTTGTAATATTTTGACCACTGACAAAATTTGCCGGTTAGTTTGTTACTGTGTATACAATTTTTTCAACGATACATCCTGTTGGGCTAATTGATAAATAACAGAAAATAATTTAAGATAAAATTGTGAAGTCTCAAAAGGGGGGAGTCTACAAATTTTCAAAAATAGCGATAGCTCAAAAACCGTGCACAATCGGAAAGAACATATAGCGTATATGTCCTTTGATTTGAAATGACCTCCCTCTTTTCATGTTCTTCCGCTTGACCCATGACTTTTGGAATACCCTATATACTCAAACTATTTTAGAGAAGACAAAGTACAAGCAGAAAGTCTTATATAGAAAATAGAAGCTCACCTTAGCAGATATCGAAGAGCCTTCTCCACCATCTCCCCTTTTCACTGTTGATTTATCATATTGTCCCGTTTTGTCCAGTTTTCCTTGTTTCCGGCGCAAACACCGCACCACTAACACCACTATCACTATCAACACTATCACACCCAAAATGGAAACACCAATCACTGCTACCAAGAAGTATTCCAATGGGAACGACACGATGATCACGATGGGGTTCTCCTGAAAGAGAACAATTGAGTTAAATTGTGAAAGCCTGTAACAGTCAAGCTTTCCTTAGTCGATGTATCAATTACGTTTGAGGTTTTGTAGTTACCGCAAGAGGTAGTTATTCTTTAAAGGGGAAATTAACAAGGAAGCAGATTATACAGTCTAAAATAGCACTTCAGGCTAGATAAAAAAAGGTGAAAAAATTTTTTTTTCAGCAGCTTAGCAGAATTCTGAAACTGTTAAATGGGTATTTCTAGTGACAAATATACTAAGTGACATATAAATCCGAACACCCAGTTTAAATGGTTTTATTTTAATAAAAGTTGGTGAATGTATTTATCTTACTGTAAATAACAAGTGAAAGTGTAGATACTGTGGTTAGGTGTTGTCAGGCATGGCTTCGAGAAGGCCGTACGCAAAGAGCAAGGGGCACTGGACGCCGCCGTAGAACAACAGAACGTGAAGATCGCCGCCTAAGATTATTGGCCTTAAGGGACCGTTTCTACACTACCACGCCCATTGCAAATGAATGATTTGCAGGACACGGAAGACCTATTGGCATGCGAAGTGTTTACCGACGAATGAGAAGTTTTGGCTTGTTTTCATACCGGCCACACTGGGACCTCCCTTTAACTCGAGAATACCGACGTAATCGCCTTGAGTGGTGCAGACAACGGTCACTCTGGGATCAGGAATGGAACAGTATTGTCTTTAGTGACGAGTCTCGATTTTGTTTAGGCATGCACGATGGTAGTGCCAGGGTTAGAAGGCGACGTGGTGAAAGGAGGAATCCGCAGTTTTTTGTTGAAAGACATGTTCATCACCCTGTTGGAGTTATGGTTTGGGGTGCTATAGCTTATGGTTCCAGGTCACCTTTAATCCTCATCAGAGGTAACATGAACGCGCAGCGTTATATCCACGAATTTCTAGAACCCCATCTTTTACCCTATCTTGACACACTGGCAGATCCAACTTTCCAACAAGATAATGCCCGACCACATGTAGCAAGAGTCACAATAGACTTCTTTCAACATAATGATGTCACATTGTTACCATGGCCACCAAGATCTCCCGACTTATCCCCAACTGAGCACGTGTAGGATATGATGGGTAGGAGATTGCTCAATTTGCAACGTCGTCCTCAGAATCTAGAAGCACTTCGAGAGGAGTTGGTGGTTGCCTGGAATCTGATACCACAGGAGGACATTGACCACCTGATCAGAAGCATGCCTAGGCGCGTTGGAGAATGCGTAGCGCATCAGGGTGCATCAACACATTATTAAAGGTCAAAGGGTTTTAAAGCAGTGCAATCATTTTGAAATTTTTATCATTTACTTATTATGCTTCATTAAGTACTTATACAAAATTTTATTAAAATAAATCATTTAAACTGGGTGTTCGGATTTATATGTCACTTAGTATACATAAAAAGGTACAGCCAGATATGCGTCGTTTTTTTATAAACAATGGGAAAAGGCCAAAATTCAGTATTATACTTGTATAAGGTCCGAATTGAATTCTATAAATAATCGCATAAAAAGACCTACAATTTTGTTTTTAAGAATTAAAATCGATAGACAATTGAGCTAAATACGGGGCTTTTTAGCAATATTGAATAAATGTTTATAACTACTGCAATCACAATTGTAAATGGCTAAAAATCCATAAGAATAGTTTTTTTTAAGTGTGCTAAATTTCAGCCGGATCGCTTCAATAGTTTATGCAAAAAGCTAATTGCTTATCCTAGAGACGAATTCTTTAACAACTGTTCTTGCCCAAGAATTGCTCCTAGAACATTTTGCAAAAGTGAAATGGTTTCTTGAAAAAAAATTATTATTCGTTTCAAAATTGTTGTTAAAAAATAGCCACTTTTATGGTTATAAACATTTACAAGAACGTCGTTACCTTTCAATATAATTTATTTTAAGTTGATCTGGAGAGGTGGTTAAAAAATTCATATTTTACAAAAAAAACCTCTACGACCAATAGGGGCCAAGATTAATTGTAATGATGCTACAACCTTGCCGTAATTGGAATTGACGGTGATGGAAAGTAGACTAAGAAATGAGTTATACAAGTATTGGAGAAGACTAGAGCGTCCAAATGAACGATTTACAGCGGACGATCAAGATTAATTAAATAATACAATATTATAATAAAAAAATACGTTACAAAATCTTATTATAACTCAAAGAATATCAATAAAATAAATATCAATGAAAGACGAACGTGAATCAATATTTTTTACAATTTATTACCGTGTATTTAGTTAGGAGTATTTAACTGAATTATGAATTGTTTAAGCAATTTTATTGCAAAATATAAATTATTTTATTAGAGTGAGAGTCAAGGTAAATGATTCATTGTTAATTTATTATTACTTCATAGTAATTTAATTTTGAAAAATACGTGTCAAGTTCGACGGGATTTCCCGATTTTCCAGGAAAATGGAACTTTTCGAGATGTGACCATTTCGACGAGTTACCCCAAGTTAAAACCAGTTTCTAAGTTGCTTAGATGCCGAGATAATGCAAAATTTTGGAGCGCGCTCCGATTTGGAGACTCAATTTCAAAAAATAAATCGAGGTAGAGCTGATTCCCCCACCACCTCACCCAGAAATACTTACGCGAGTTCCTTCACTTTGGGCGGCTATTTCTTATAGACCTTTGAACTAATAGTAAAATTATAAATTGGATCATAAAACTAAGATCCGTGATTAACATCTGTCAAGATTTCGAGTCTTAATGTTTATAAGCAAAGGAGATCTGAATTAAAAAAAAGATATTTTGGCTCCTCGCAGAATGTTTTTTTTCTATTAAATATGCATTTTTAACCACCTATACAGTTCAAGTTGTTAAAATAAACTATACTAAGTGACATATAAATCCGAACACCCAGTTTAAATGGTTTTGTTTTAATAAAATTTTGTATAAGTAATTAATGAAGCATAATAAGTAAATGATAAAAATTTCAAAATGACTGCACTGCTTTAAAACCCTTTGACCTTTAATAATGTGTGAATGCACCCGGATGTGCTACGCATTCTCCAACGCGCCTAGGCATGCTTCTGATCAGGTGATCAATGTCCTCCTGTGGTATCTCATTCCGGACAACCACCAGCTCCTCTCGAAGTGCTTCTAGAGTCTGAGGAGGACGTTGCAAATTGAGCAATCTCCTACCCATCATATCCCACACGTGCTCAATTGGGGATAAGTTGGCAGATCTTGGTGGCCATGGGAACAATGTGACATCATTATGTTGAAAGAAGTCTATTGTGACCCTTGCAACATGTGGTCGGGCATTATCTTGTTGGAAAGTTGGATCTGCCAGGGTGTCAAGATAGGGTAAAGGATGGGGTTCTAGAACTCCGTGGATATAACCCTGCGCGTTCATGTTACCTCTGATGAAGATTAAAGGTGACCTGGAATCATAAGCTATAGCACTCCAAACCATAACTCCAACAGTGTGATGAACATGTCTTTCAACAAAAAACTGTGGATTCCTGCTTTCACCACGTCGCCTTGTAACCCTCGACCATCGTGCATGCGTAAACAAAATCGAGACTCTGCACTAAAGACAATACTGTTCCATTCCTGATCCCAGAGTGACCGTTGTCTGCACCACTCAAGGCGATTACGTCTTTGTTCTCGAGTTAAAGGGAGGACCCAGTGTGGCCGGTATGAAAACAAGCCAAAACTTCTCATTCGTCGGTAAACACTTCGCATGCCATTAGGTCTTCCGTGTTCTGGAAACCATTCATATGCAATGGACGTGGTAGTGGAGAAACGGTCCGTTAAGGCCAATAATCTTAGGCGGCGATCTTCACGGTCTGTTGTTCTACGGCGGCGTCCAGTGCCCCTTGCTCTTTGCGTAAGGCCTTCTCGAAGCCATGCCTGACAACACCTAGCCTCAGTGTCTACACTTCTTTGCACTCTAACTGCAATTGTCCGAAAAGAATGTCCAGCTTCCCGGAGTCCCACTATACGGCCCCTATCAAACTCACTAAGTTGACGAAATCGTACAGGTCTCCGTACTCTAGGCATCGTAACGGATCGTAAAGGATGTCAAGAACCAAAATCCGCCAACGTTGATTCTTTACTGCGGCTGAAATATTCATTTTTAGAGCGTTAGTGAATTAAAAAAAAGCAGTATAAAAACCGGAATGTCCAACTGATAAGGCTGAAAATTTTTTCACTTGTTATTTACAGTAACATAAATACATTCACCAACTTTTATTAAAATAAAACCGTTTAAACTGGGTGTTCGGATTTATATGTCACTTAGTATATATTGGAAAATAAAGGAGTTATTGTACCAGTAATTGTTTATAACTATAAAAATGGTTATTTTTTAACATCATTTTTAACAACAATTATACGTATATATTATAATTAAATAATTTTTTGCATAAATTCCAAAAGTTTGAAATTCCGGGAATCCATTTCACTTTTGTAAAATGGTCTAGGACTATTCCTTGGGCAGACTAAATAATTTATCTCTGATATAAGCAATTAGATTTTCACATAAACTATTAAATCGATCCCGCTAAAACACATATTAACACCAATGATGCCCTCATTTTCACAAATGTTTAGCCCTTTACAGTTGTTATTGCAACAGTTATAAGCATTTATTCAATATTGCTAAAAAACTCCGTATATAGCTTAATTGTCTATCGATTTCAATTCTTAGAAGGTAAAACTGAAGGTCCTTTTATGCTCTGAAATCTTCAGTTAACCGATTATCTATAACATTTAATTTGACAATTGTACAAACTACTGAATTTCGAGCTTTTCCCATTGTTTATAAAAAAACAACGCAGATCTGGCTATATCTTTTTATGTATTTGTCATTAGGAAGACATCCCCCTTAATATAAATCTTTCGGGTATCTGCTAAACTTTTTTTTACTCGAAATCCGTCTTTTTTTTTCTGTGTTGCCTTGGTGGTCGAACCGGCTTAGAGACTCTGATTCTGTCAACAGTTGCATCAGTATTAGTTTTTAATATTTTTCTCCCAACTATTTATCAAGGTTCACATCCTCCTAAAATAAACGATGTGTTATTAATCTGGTTATCGACATTTGTTGCGTGTTTTGCCACTGCTTAAAGGACTGCTCGCAATGGTCAACCCGGTGTGTAATGGTAACTCAAACAAAGTTAGAAACAATGAGATTAAAATTGCTCTCCACAGTTTCACAACAAACCTTGAGTATGATTCGTATGGTGAAGTTGGACTGGGAATTGCCAGCTGCGTTGTCAGCATTGCAGATGAAAGTGCCATTGTCCTCAGCGTTTGCGTTGTAGATAAACAGCTCGCTACGCTTGTTCTCGGAACCTTCTTCCACATAGTAAATTAGATGGACACCCGGTGCAATCTGTAAAATAACGATATCGATTTAAACTATTGCACAGTATAATACAATTAGTCAAAGATAACTTGATGCTTATCTAACGCCTAAAATGCATCTTCAACAGAAACCCACGTATGTCTAAGCGTAGATGAGTTGTAAGCAGTTAGTCTAATCATTTCCCCGATATTCAAATTGAACCTGCGATAATTAATATCAACCATTCGGACAGTGATTCAAGTACTTCCAGCGAATAAATAATTGTGAAAAGTATGTCGACTTCTTTCTATAAAAATAGTCGTCTACTTTGTTAGATCATTCCAAGACCATTGAGGCAAATACGGACCTGTACAATCTAACTTGTGTTTTGTCTGGACTACGAATGGGGTATAGAAATGTATTTTTACTCGTAAGTTCTTAAGAATGGTATCAGCTAGGTGGTCCTTATTTCCTTTACATTCTGTGCGCCTATAAACAAGTTTTATAAACATGGGTTAATGTAAATTTTGGAAAAGAGTTAAGGAAAAGTACAATTACCATGGTGTCATTCTGCAGCATCCTTCCTTGGAACCACCAAGACACAGTAGCCTCTGGTACAGCATGCACGTGACACAACAACGAAATATTCTTTCCTTCTGCCAACTCCAGGTAGAAGGCTGTTGGCTGAACATCAGGTAGGCATGCCAACTGCTCCATAGGTATATCAATTAAATGGCGACCTCGTAGCCTTGGCGGACCAGCGCAAACCAGTGGTTCTGTCAACGGTACTGTTGTTTCCAGCAACCAAGAGGAGAGGTCCATGGCATGGCAATCGCACTGCCATGGATTGTTGTGCAGTTGGAGGTCTGGAAATGTAATAATATGCCATTTGAATGATATGAGCTTTGTTGGGAATCTAGAAGCTAAATGGGATGTGTCAAAGAAGGTCATATTGAATGAAAAAAAAAATCAGGCTATTCTTAGCTATTGCATTGACATGAGATTTGAAAAAATAATCTTCGTACGAGGACCCCTGGATAAAGCAAAAATTGAAATCTGCATGACAAACGGCTTTTGTATTTTTAATTCAATGTTTCATAAACATATATACATAAATATTCCGAGCTTTCTATTCATATTTATGGGTTGCTTTTTTATAGCGGTATATGACGTGCGGTTGTTTGTAATTACTGAATGTTTCATATACATTATCAGTTGTTATTAAATATTTCAAACTTCCTGTATGCGCCAGTGCATATATACATACATAAATTATAAAAGTTTTGACCTACAGTTCCCTGTTAAATAATTATAACCAAAACTATCTTACTTTCAGGCGTCCATGTTAGGGAAATAATACTTACCACCAATCTATTTCTAGCAATACTTCATCTCGTTTTGAGGTATATTGAGGTACACAAGTGACCTTATTGTCTGTAATGTTTGCAACAACGATTGATCTGGTGAAACTCAGGTCCGCATTGAGAACTATTTAGGCCAAACTCCTGAGAAGTTAGCTCTGCATAGCTACCTTTGGTGATTGGGCAATCTGACAATAAGGTAAACAAAGTACACATACTCAACTTGGTGAAACAGATAAAGGCTAAGATGATTAACATCCCTGACAAGGCTTTTAATGCTTCCAATTTACGTAAGGCATCAATTTTGTTTATCAATCCGGGACACTTGCCAAGTAATAGCAGTTAGATAAATAGTAAGTGTTCTTCCTTCAAATAATGTAAATGGTTTCCCTAATAGAAATAATATCATTTTTGAAACTTCCAGAACAGTGGAGTCTCTACGAAACCAAAGTCAGACGACCTAATCCAATCAATGCGGCGACGACTGAACGAATGCATACCGAACAGAGGAGCTTCAGCACATTATTATTATTATATACTAAGTGACATATAAATCCGAACACCCAGTTTAAATGGTTCTATTTTAATAAAATTTTGTATAAGTACTTAATGAAGCATAATAAGTAAATGATAAAAATTTCAAAATGATTCCACTGCTTTAAAGCCCTTTGACCTTTAATAATGTGTGGATGCACCCTGATGTGCTACGCATTCTCCAACGCGCCTGGGCATGCTTCTGATCAGGTGGTCAATGTCCTCCCGTGGTATCTCATTCCAGGCAACCACCAACTCCTCTCGAAGTGCTTCTAGAGTCTGAGGAGGACTTTGCCAATTGAGCAATCTCTTACCCATCATATCCCACACGTGCTCAATGGGGGATAAGTCGAGAGATCTTGGTGGCCATGGTAACAATGTGACATCATTATGTTGAAAGAAGTCTATTGTGACTCTTGCAACATGTGGTCGGGCATTATCTTGTTGGTAAGTTGGATCTGCCAGGGTGTCAAGATAGGGTAAAAGATGGGGTTCTAGAACTTCGTGGATATAACGCTGCGCGTTCATGTTACCTCTGATGAAGATTAAAGGTGACCTGGAACCATAAGCTAGAGCGCCCCAAACCATAACTCCAACAGTGTGATGAACATGTTTATCATTTACTTATTATGCTTCATTAAGTACTTAAACAAAATCTTATTAAAATAAAACCATTTGACCTGGGTGCTCGGATTTATATGTCACTTAGTATATACGTAGTCGTGCCATAAGTTCTGTCCCATGATAATCTCATGATAAAAATGAAACAAGATAAGATATATTTATATGAAAGATATTATTTATTCGACAACATTTTTAGAATTCATAATCAAACAGTTTTATTCAAAATGTCCCCCCTTGGCCTTCACACACTGCTTCAATCTCGCGGGCCACTCATCTATCACTGCACGCACAGCTTCCAAAGGAATAGCTGCCGCTGATCGGATCAAATCCGCTTTCAGGGACTCGATATTACGGTGGGCTTTGGAGCAGGCCAACTGCTCTAGCAGGTCCCACAACTTGTAGTCTAAAGGATTGAGGTCCGGACTCCCTGAGGGCCAATCTTCCGCAGCAATGAAATCTGGCACATTGCTTTCCAGCCAGCGCTGCGTACTCTTAGCCTTGTGAGCGGGGGCGGAATCCTGCTGGTAGACCCAGTGTTGGTTGGCAAACAATGTACCACTTAAAGGCTTGACGATAGGATCCAGTATGTCGCTCTGATAGTTTGCCGCTTTTGTTTTCACGCCCTGTTTACAGAAATGGAGCTGAGTGACCCCTTCGTAGGACACCCCCCACCAAACCATGACTGACGCAGGGTGGTGGCCTCTCTCAACTCTCGGAATGATCTCCGAAGCTTCCTGTGAACTCCTTGCATACACTTTGTCATTTTGTCGGTTGAATTTTTCTTCTATGGTGAAGATTTTCTCATCCGTGAACAAAATCTTTCGGAATCCCCCAGCTGCGTACCTCTCCAAGAGCTTCTTGGATCTTGTCGCCCTGATGTGTCGCAAGGTGGCCGTAAGTCGCTGGCCCGTACGTCTCCGGTAAGCCCCTAGCCCTAGGTCTTGTTTAATGATGCGCGACATCGTCCGGACAGGAATCTTCATTTCCCTGGATAGGATCTTCTGCTTCCGGAGTGGATTCCTTTGAATCCTGGCTTTTACGGCTTTGATGGCTGCTGGAGTCCTTACTTGACGAGGTCTTCCGCTTCTTGGCCTGTCATCAACAGAGGACGTCTCATTGTACCGCTGAATGGTCCTAGACACAAATTTACGCGATATTTGAAGGCCGCGTAAGAGTTCAAAAATCTGACTAGCACTGTGATTACACTTATGTAAAGCTATCACTGCAATACGGTTCTCTGCCTTGCCCCACTCCATCGTTATGCTTCGAGAGATCAATACAAACTGAGGTATATGTAATTACCCGAAAAGCGCTTAATCAACTGACACCACAATGTAAACAATCGGACAAGTATTAACAGGTCTACACTTGTTTGAAAACGAGGGACAGAACTTATGGCATGACTACGTATATATATATACATATATATATATTTATGCTCAAAATTTCAGCACTCCCAGTTGGTGTTGCATTTTCTATACGATTTAGTAGAGTCTATAGTTTTCAATGTAAAAATTGTAACCTTCTTTATATAGGACAAACTCACAGATCATTAAAGGTAATAATTAAATCACATAAAAGCTATTCCAAACTGTGTCCAGTGAGATGTGTTGTGTCTTCACATGTTACCAGTACAGACTATTCCTTTTATTATACTAAGTGACATATAAATCCGAACACCCAGTTTAAATGGTTTTATTTTAATAAAAGTTGGTGAATGTATTTATCTTACTGTAAATAACAAGCGGAAAAATTTTCAGCCTTATCAGTTGGACATTCCGGTTTTTATACTGCTTTTTTTTAATTCACTAACGCTCTAAAAATGAATATTTCAGCCACAGTAAAGAATCAACGTTGGCGTATAGTGGGACTTCGAGAAGCTGGACTTTCTTTTCAGGCAATTGCAGTTAGAGTGCAAAGAAGTGTAGACACTGTGGTTAGGTGTTGTCAGGCATGGCTTCGAGAAGGCCGTACGCAAAGAGCAGGGGGCACTGGACGCCGCCGTAGAACAACAGACCCTGAAGATCGCCGCCTAAGATTATTGGCCTTAAGGGACCGTTTCTCCACTACCAGGTCCATTGCAAATGAAAGGTTTGCAGAACGCGGAAGACCTATTGGCATGCGAAGTGTTTACCGACGAATGAGAAGTTTTGGCTTGTTTTCATACCGGGCACACTGGGTCCTCCCTTTAACTCGAGAACACCGACGTAATCGCCTTGAGTGGTGCAGACAACGGTCACTCTGGGATCAGGAATGAAACAGTATTGTCTTTAGTGACGAGTCTCGATTTTGTTTAGGCATTCACGATGGTCGTGCCAGGGTTAGAAGGCGACGTGGTGAAAGGAGGAATCCACAGTTATTTGTTGAAAGACATGTTCATCACACTGTTGGAGTTATGGTTTGGGGTGCTATAGCTTATGGTTCCAGGTCACCTTTAATCTTCATCAGAGGTAACATGAACGCGCAGCGTTATATCCACGAAGTTCTAGAACCCCATCTTTTACCCTATCCTGACACCCTGGCAGATCCAACTTTCCAACAAGATAATGCCCGACCACATGTTGCAAGAGTCACAATAGACTTCTTTCAACATAACGATGTCACATTGTTACCATGGCCACCAAGATCTCCCGACTTATCCTCAATTGAGCACGTGTGGGATATGATGGGTAGGAGATTGCTCAATTTGCAACGTCCTCCTCAGACTCTAGAAGCACTTCGAGAGGAGTTGGTGGTTGCCTGGAATGAGATACCACAGGAGGACATTGACCACCTGATCAGAAGCATACCTAGGCGCGTTGGAGAATGCGTAGCACATCAGGGTGCATCCACACATTATTAAAGGTCAAAGGGCTTTAGAGCAGTGCAATCATTTTGAAATTTTTATCATTTACTTATTATGCTTCATTAAGTACTGATACAAAATAAAACCATTTAAGCTGGGTGTTCGGATTTATATGTCACTTAGTATATTTAGGCCAAACACCTGAGAATATAGCTCTGCATAGCTACCTTTGGTGATTGGGCAATCTGACAATAAGGTAAACAAAGTACACATACTCAACTTGATGAAACATATAAAGGCTAAGATGATTAACATCCCTGACAGGGCTTTTAATGCTTCCAATTTACGTAAGGCTTCAATTTTGTTTATCAATCCGGGACACTTGCCAGTTAGGTAAATAGTAAGTGTTCTTCCTTCAAATAATGTAAATGGTTTCCCTAATAGTAATAATATAATTGTTGAAACTTCCAGAACATTGGGGTCTCTACGAACCAAATTCAGATGACCTGATATAGAATGTATCAAGAAGACAATAATCACCCAATGTGTACCGAACAGAGGAGCTTCAACACATTATTAACATTAAGGTCGGATGTCTCTGCTATTTTGTGAAATTTCGAGTCAATATTTTAACCACTCTCTGTTTATGCTCAAAATTACACCACTCCCAGTCGTTGTATTTTCTATATGATTTAGTATAGTCTTTAGTTTTTAATGTAAAAATTGTAACCTTGTTTATATAGGCCAATTGTGTCTAGTGAGATCTGTTGTGGCTTCACAAGTTATCAGTACAGGCTATTCTTAAGTTATTATGACAGTATTAAGATTGTTAACAGAGAGCAGCTATCTAAAGGTTTATTCATTGGAACGTCACATATCTTCATGATCGATCATTGTTTGAATGAGAATGCTGATACAAATCATTTATGTGTTATTTATTCATGTCTACTAAATCGCTAAAATAAATTTTTGCTAATATTACATATTTTTTCAACCGCTGAAGATGAGAACAGCTTATCGAAAGCTTTAGAATGAAATTACAAGAGTAAATCTTGTGATATACTTGCCGGAGGCCCAATGATTATCGAACGAGTCAAGTTAACAAGCTGAAATTCTTGATGATGAAATTGATGCACAAATATATTTTTTATTGTAAAAGAAGCAGTTGAACATTTCAAGATGGCGGATGGGCAAGGTCTTTGAATATATTTTTTTAGGGTTAAGGTATGTGTGTTTTATCAGAAGTTTGAAATAAAAAGCGTTGCGACCATCATTCTTATAAAAATATCAGCTTTAATTACAACCTTTAAGTGCTACTTTTAGATTCCACCATGTCAGATAATAACAGTGAATTTTGGGAGACTCTTCCAGAAAAAGCTGACGACTGTGTTCCTGTTCTAGATTTAGGTATGCCTACTTAACGTGTTTTGATTACCATTTGTTTTACATTAACAAAATTTCTGATCTCTAGTTCCGTTACTGTTGTTCTTCCAAATAAATATTGAAAAACTCATCTTTGATCAGAGTAACTTTCGTATGAATTGTCTGTGGTAGATATCGGTGATTGACAAATATACTAAGTGACATATAAATCCGGTTTAAATGGTTTTATTTTGATAAAAGTTGGTGAATGTATTTATCTTACTGTAAATAGCAAGTGAAAAAATTTTCAGCCTTATCAGTTGGACATTCCGGATTTTATACTGCTTTTTTTTAATTCACTAATGCTCTAAAAATGAATATTTCAGCCGCAGTAAAGAATCAACGTTGGCGGATTTTGGTTCTTGACATCCTTTACGATCGGTTACGATGCCTAGAGTACGGAGACCTGTACGATTTCGTCAACTTAGTGAGTTTGATAGGGGCCGTATAGTGAGACTTCGGGAAGCTGGACTTTCTTTTCGGGCAATTGTAGTTAGAGTGCAAAGAAGTGTAGACACTGTGGTTAGGTATTGTCAGGCATGGCTTCGAGAAGGCCGTACGCAAAGAGCAAGGGGCACTGGACGCCGCCGTAGAACAACAGACCGTGAAGATCGCCGCCTAAGATTATTGGCCATAAGGGTCCGTTTCTCCACTACCAGGTCCATTGCAAATGAATGGTTTGCAGAACACGGAAGACCTATTGGCATGCGAAGTGTTTACCGACGAATGAGAAGTTTTGGCTTGTTTTCATACCGGCCACACTGGGTCCTCCCTTTAAACTCGAGAACACCGACGTAATCGCCTTGAGTGGTGCAGACAACGGTCACTCTGGGATCAGGAATGGAACAGTATTGTCTTTAGTGACGAGTCTCGATTTTGTTTAGGCATGCACGATGGTTGTGCCAGGGTTAGAAGGCGACGTGGTGAAAGGAGGAATCCACAGTTTTTGTTGAAAGACATGTTCATCACGCTGTTGGAGTTATGGTTTGGGGTGCTATAGCTTATGGTTCCAGGTCACCTTTAATCTTCATCAGAGGTAACATGAACGCGCAGCGTTATATCCACGAAGTTCTAGAACCCCATCTTTTACCCTATCTTGACACCCTGGCAGATCCAACTTTCCAAAAAGATAATGCCCGGCCACATGTTGCTAGAGTCACAATAGACTTCTTTCAACATAATGATGTCACATTGTTACCATGGCCACCAAGATCTCCCGACTTATCCCCAATTGAGCACGTATGGGATATGATGGGTAGGAGATTGCTCAATTTGCAACGTCCTCCTCAGACTCTAGAAGCACTTCGAGAGGAGTTGGTGGTTGCCTGGAATGAGATACTACAGGAGGACATTAACCACCTGATCAGAAGCATGCCTAGGCGCGGTGGAAAATGCGTAGCACATCAGGGTGCATCCACACATTATTAAAGGTCAAAGGGCTTTAAAGCAGTGCAATCATTTTGAAATTTTTATCATTTACTTATTATGCTTCATTAAGTACTTATACAAAATTTTATTAAAATAAAACCATTTAAACAGGGTGTTCGGATTTATATGTCACTTAGTATACGTCTATTGTGAGAATAATTTACATCTACTGGCGCAAACGCCAGTATAGGCTAAATTCAAGGTTTTTACTGACGAAATAGAACTGAAAAATTACTCGGGCTGGATTTATATGTGTAATCACTTCTGATGGTTTTGCCCCGCAAAAGATAAGGCATGAAGTGAAGAAAATTTGATATCTTTAAATCGACAGGACATACCCATTATTGGGGAATCAGCAAGAAATTTAGCCGTACTTTTTGATGAGAGCCTGATATTTGTTCACCATGTAAATGATGTAAGAAAAGATTGCTATCCAATTCTCAGATTGTTATATGCAAGTAAACAGCTACTTGATTTTGAGAATTTTCTGCGAGTCTTTGGTGATGTCTAAGATCACACGCTGCCTTTTAATATATTTTCCTTTCGTGGATTATGAATCCGGAAAATAACTTCAAAAATTCAAAACACCTGCTGTAGGTTGACTCAGAATATCAGAAAGCTCGAACATATCAGTGCTACTTTCTCAGAACTAGGATGGCTCAATATGAGACAATTATATGTTTTCAATATGCTCATATACTAACAAACTTATACGTATATACATCTGTGTCCCTATTTTTGAGAGAGAACTGGTTGCACGAAAATATATATATTCCATAAATATAAGATTTCATAACACCTTAACCATGCCAGATCACAGACTGCTTTCTTTCTAAATAATGTTACAGCGACAGCGGTGGCGTGGTGGTAGACGCTACGGTCTCCTAATCAGTCACCGTGCGCTGCGCGGGTTCGAATCCCGTCCCAAGATAATTTCTCTTGGCTATGAATGTTGTGACTGTCCGTAGAGCCAGATTGTGTGCATGCTGCATTCACACGTGTTCCCTCGCTGGGGTCCGTGACGCGTCCCTACCTTTCCGCTGTATCGCCCTATAGCCTCACGGTACGCTATGGGTGTTCATGCTTTATTCCTTCGTGGTAGTATAAAAAAATACAAGGCTGTCAAGTTGTAAAAGTCTTTGTCGGTAATTAAATTTAAACCAGAAGTTGAGATGTATATACAGGGTGTCCGCAAGGTTGGGGTTTTCCTTTACACGATGTTTAGATCTTGAAAACATAAGCAATTTTTCTTAGTACCATATACACCAATGTCTTAAGGGAACCGAGATAAAGGGCTCTGCAACATCAAAAATATCTGAATACCGTCCTGTAGCCGCGACCCGCGACATCACCGACTGGTACAAGGTCACTGGCTCAACCCGACGACAGAACTGGGTCGGGGTCAGTGTGTCAGGTCAGTATGCGACCTTCAACCGACGGTTACGGTCACGCGTGTAGAGGTAATCGCGTAGACGAGAATCCCTCAACAAGCACTAGAGATGTGGCTAGAGAAGTGCAAGTATCAAAACTAAAGTGTGGCAAACGCTGCGTGAAGAGGGGCTGTATCCGTTTCACGTCCAACGTGTACAAGCCCTTCAACCTGACGATTTTCCAGCAAGAGTGCGGTTTTGTGAGTGGTTGTTGCATCAACATGACAATAATCCGGACTTTTTGAAGTGCATATTGGTGACAGACGAATCTACGTTCACGCGTTATGGGGTGAATAACTTTCGCAACAGTCATTTTGGTCAGTAGAAAATCCGCACGCTGTCCGTCGGGCACATTTTCAACAAACATTTTCGGTGAATGTTTGGGCTGGCATGGTGAACAGTATGCTCGTTGGACCATTTATTTTCCCAATCGATTGGACGGGATGCAATACCTAGACTTTTTACGCAACATTTTGAGTTCCTTGTTAGAAGATGTGCCATTAAGTGTAAGACAATCAGTGTGGTTTCTGCACGATGGTGCACCGCCCCATTTTAGACGCGAAGTGCGTGAGTTTTTGAATGAATTATTTCCGAATAGGTGGATCGGACGTAATGGACCCGTAGCGTGGCCTCCGCGATCTCCAGACTTAACACCATGTGATTTTTTCTTTGGGGAGAAATGAAACGCTTAGTGTACAAAACTGAAGTGCATACGGTTGACGAACTTCGTCTCAGAATTGAACAAGCTGGTGCTTTCATTCGGGGGAGGGACTCCATTCTCAAAACCTGCACCGATGCTTGGCTACGTCGTGCACGCACCTGTGTTTTTGAATCAAACGGCGATAACTTCGACAATACCTATAAAGTACGTTTACCTAAAAACTGAATACGCGGCAGCGCCGTCATATTTATTACCTCTGTTCGTGGTCTGCACCACCGCCTGCGTCTGCTCGTTAGCGCATCAGCTGATTTCATTTTCTGTTGGAGCGGTATGATTTCGGGCAGAGACGTACTTAGCCCTTCTCGTCAACTGGAGAGTGAGTACTTTTTCCTTTATTTTTTTTACTTGGTCGCCCTCGTTTCACTACACATTACCTTTGTTATTTTAAGGGTAGTTGTTTCTGAAAAGGAAAACCCCAACTTTGCGGACACCCTGTATTGAGTCATGGAAATGCAGGCATAAAGTAATAATCTTTTGTGTCGGTTTCTCATTGTTTTTCATCTGTATTTATTGCTATTAGTACATCATTTATTTATTTATGTTTTCTACCATTAGAATCTTATTATGAACATTCCTGAATTTTCGACTTGGTGCAAAGAACCTGTATTTTCAAAAGTGCTAATTGTATGTTTGTTATTTCTTCCCTTTTATTGCAATTGTTACACCAACAGAGACATTATAAATATATGGAATTTGTAAATTTTTCTGTTTCTAAAATCGATAAGTGGAAAATCAACCGACGGCTAAACTCCGCCCTAGTATAGACCAATTATTATACTATCATTATAATATTTAAAACAATAAAATAAGGATCATTATGTATACACTCGGATTTCCAAGCGCTCAATACCTAACAACGTGGATGATAGCTACAAAAAAAAAGAGATTACAAATTGATGTTTCTCATTTTCCAGTATTGCAAATACGGGGGCTCAGCTTATGAACGCAGAATAATAACAGAGCACTTGAAACCAAAGCCTGAGACCTATTATTGGAAAAATCCCTGAACGACCTACAAGCGCAAAATTGAAGCTCATGCGTATTGAATCTAATTTTTCTTGAAAAGCAATCACTTCAGTTTATCCGGATACTCGATCCACCATGTTTTTTATTTCGTCTCAAGAGCCAATTACGAGAGCTTCCTTATTGCCGTCCTCATCAATGAATTGCTAATTAAAGTTAATGTTCTGATCCTGTGAATGGCGCTAATGGATGCGCTGCAGCAAGAACTATGGTACGGACAAGTTACGATGCTCAGTAATCGTTTTAAAGTTGCATACCAATTTGTGTAGAGAGCCAGAAGCGAGTTCACATTGCTTTGACGTTTTCGATAATCTCGTTCCCAGAAAAATATTGTGACTATACTACAACTATTTAAAACTGTAATGACTCATACGCGTGATCAACACGTGATCAGAGCTCGATCCCGGCTTCCTTCCAGTACAGCCGTATAGCGTACGACATATGTCGTTTGTGTGGCTTTGCGGTGGTCAACAGCACAGACAGAGATGGAAATAATGGCTTATTGTTCTCCGCCGTTAGAACCAATCAAATCAAAGACGCGCCTCGACCGACAGACTCATAGGCGTCGGCAACGCATTGGAACGTGTTTCGTTGAGCGATCGCATATTGTGTGTTTTTATAAGAATTGTTGTGTGATTGTTATTGTTGTGGTTTCTGTGGTTACTGTTTTGGTTATACTTAACCATGGAGAGTACAAATGGCACGAGTGGAAGTACTGAAAGCCAGGGAACAAGTAGACGGCTTCGTAAAGCACTGAAGAGGGCGCAAAAGAAATCGTGCTCAACGCGTTGTGAAAGTATGACAGGCGTTCCAGAGTGACCATTCGCAGGGTGGTGCATGAAAAGAAGAAAACTGGAGCTACTACTGATCCAAAGTTTAATTTGAAGGGACGAAAGGCCGTTAAATTGGATGACGATAGCAAAATGGCGTTAAGGCGAACCGTACATTCATTCTTCTTTAAGAATGAGATACCAACCCTCAAGGCTGTACATGCAGCGATCAAGGAAAATGAAATTATACCCCAAATGAGCGTCGAGGTAATGAGAAAATCCCTGCACGAAATTAATTTTCGTTACGAAACGCGTAATCGGAAGTCAGTATTGATAGAGAGACCTGAAATAGTAGCCTGGCGTCGAAAATACCTAAGCGAAATGATTGAATATAGGCGACAAAGCAGAAGAATCTATTATTTGGACGAGACATGGGTAAATGCAGGTCACACAGTTAAAAAAACCTGGATAGACAAAAACGTAGTGAAAAACCGACAAGCAAGCATTTAAGGTTTGTCAACAGGTCTTCGTGGACCGTCAGGGAAAGGTCAAAGATTGATCGTAACTCATATTGCTAGCGATAGTGGCTTTTTAGAAGAGTGTGACTTGATTTTCGTCTCTAAGAAAGGAGGTGATTACCATGACGAAATGAATGCCAGCTGCTTCGGGAGCTGGTTTCAAGGGGTGCTTCAGCGAGTTGAGCCCAACTCTGTGATCGTCATGGATAATCCTTCCTACCATAGTCGTCGAGCCGAACGTGTACCGACTATGGGATCTCGAAAAAGTGACATGCAGCAATGGTTGCGCGAAAAAGGAATCCCGTTTGACGATTCATGTGTGAAAGCGGAATTGTATGAAAAAATTAAACGGCACAAACCTGCTAACATTAGTTACGTGACTGATGAGATGGCCCGTCAATGGGTTATATTGCGCGCCATAACACAACCTTCAAATTACCAGACGTTAAGGTTTTACTTGACACTTCCATACAGCTAGTAACATCCGAAGCTTGGCAGAATGCTATCCGTCATGTTGCGAAGGAAGAAACAAAAATGTGGCAGCTTGACCACCACATCGACACCATCATAGAGCCAGTTATAGTCAATTTCAACGAGGAAAGCGATAGCGACAGTTTATTACTGTCAGATGTAAGTGGAAGCGACCATGAATAAAGGTAATTCCCAAATTTTTTACTTACAATATGTTTCAAACCACTCTTTATTAAGCATGTGACAAATCGAGTTCACCCATGTTAAACATTCATACCCCGCCTATGAACAGCCGACTACTGGTAGTTAAGTGATGTTCACGTGAACATCGATGAGTCATTACAGTTTTAGATAGTTATAGTGTAGGTGACAGAAACAATTTCCCAGTAATAATGAAATTGTGAAACTATTACTTCTAGGAATCATAACATCGCAGCATGGTACATCTCAAAGGTCGTCATATACGGGATGAGTTTTTAGTGTTAGCAAGGTGGATATCTCAGTTGTTACGAACGGTATCTAGAAAAATTGAACAAAAATATTGTTCCCAACGTTAAGCTTTTGACTTGGAAAGTATTTTTATTTCTACAGGGTGATTTATAACTACGTGGTGACCCAAGCATTCTTTGGTGGGAAGCCTTACATTGCAGAACATACTGTAGGGCTTTATTCTCAAATTGTTGAAATATGGGACAATCTGTTGAAAGAACAATCAAATTCAAATTTGACAACCTGCACTTCTGCAACTGTTACAGCTAGAGTCCTGAATGTTTTGTCAGAAATGTTCTGTGGTATCGTATTTTCTCCCTATTTACTTGACTTTTCAGTTTTTTTGATAGTTCATGCAGGGCCGTCAAGGACGCAAAATGAAGCATTTCTCGGAATCTTACTGTCATATTCTTTGGTTCCCTTTTTTTACAGGTTTTTTTTCGATACAGGGTTTGTACGACTGGTTGTTGAGTTACTAAGAACACAGGAACACCTTCTAGACTTT